TTTCTCTGACCACAACAAGTAATCTTTCTTCTGGTATTTACTTGCTCATATTAAAAATTATAACCAGATACTAAACAGCACAAAATTAAAAGTAGATAAACATTTCAAATATCATGGAAAACAGTACAGCAGTACAGCAAAATTTGAATTTTTCTGAATATTATTTTCTTGAGCCAAATCAAGACCATGTGCTAATTCCAGATATCAGTTTTTAAAGGTGCTCTACTGTGTTTTTAAACTCCATACACTTTCACTAGAATTTGGATTATTTCAGCCCTGGAATTGCCAATGTCTACTGAAAGGTAAAAAGAGCTGTTAAAGGGACAGTCCGGAATTTTGGACAAAGGGCCTCATTTCCTAGTTAGCCAGAGTGTTGGAGACGTGTGGAGACACTAGCTAAAATACACTTTTTTAAAATATTCCATCCAGTCCTTGTATTTGCAGAGGTTGCTGGTGCTACGCTAGCGCATGTCAATGGCCATAGTTATCCTGCCACTATAAACAGTTTTACCCACTCCACAAAACACCCGAAGCAAATTTATTATTATGCCAGACTATCAGTGTAAACGTCTGTGTTGATAGAATACTGTTTGAAATAAAACTAACCTTGCATCGCAGGAATCGTCGCATGCTGAGGGACTATTTTCTCATATATCAGTCCGCTGCCAAGCTTTCTATCAGGAAGTACAACTCGCTGCTGCTGCTCAGACATAAATCCTTCAAATGCAAGGTTGGTTTTACTTCTAAAATAATTCTATCAACACAGATCGATAGTCTGGCGTAATAATAGATTTCCTTCAGTTGTTTTGTGGAGTGGGTAAGACTGTTTTTAGTGACAGGCTAACTATGGCCACTGACATGCGCTAGCCTAGCACTAGCAACCTCTGCAAATACAAGGCCTGGATGGAATATTTAAAAAAGTGTCTTCACACGTCTCCAACTCTGGCTCACTAGGAAATGAGGCCCTATGTCCAAAATTCAGGACTGTCCCTTTAACTTGAAAACTACCATTACATGACATTACAAAGTGGAACAGAATGTTTTGAGCTTTGGAGATGTAAACAGACTAATAGAAAAGGATTAATCAAACATGTGTGAATGAAACTAAACACAATTCAGTGTATGTTTTTTGTGTGTTCATTTATTATTACATGGTGTCTAAATTGATACCGAGTATTGTGCCATGACTGTTGTATCAAAAACCAGAAATGCTAATCAAAATCAGTACTCAAGTAAAAGTGCTTATCATTCTTGACGAGATTAATGTATTTTACAAACCCAAATGCCTCCTCTCTTGCACTGACAAATATTATGAAGCTACTCTCCACCAATGCATGTGACCCTTGTGGCTGAAGCGTGACATTCAAACTAGACCTGTTTACCAGAGCAGTGCATAACATGAGTTTACATCTTTAACCTTTGCCTTACACTTTGCATAGATAGAACCTTTTGGCAACACACGCAGGCAAACAACATAAAACATACAAGCTCCGGGTCATGCATCATTTAAACATCCAGCAGGCAGCGGGGAATCAGGGAGAAACAGGCTGTGCTGTAAATAATCCCCCCTCCTCTTGTGTGGTAGAGGCATCTTTAAGATGCTAGTCATTCTGTGGCTGTTATTCTAATGAAATCAAACTAATACAATGAGCAGTCCTGATGAGGTATTCTTTGGCTGGTCCATTTGAGTGTTTGGCGATCACTTGACCTTTGAAAGATGGCCGTGCTGGACGAGTGGGCTTGATTTGGATCTTGTAGTATGAGCTGTGAAAATAGGACACAAATATGAATAATGAAATATGGACAAGGAAGATGGTTCTACCTGCTGCTCGACCTACCGTGATAAACAGATAAAGGTGGATCCGACTAGGGCAAAACTCTTTTATTACTTTGTGGTAGGTATAGACCTCATTTTGTACTTTTTAGTAGCTATCTGCCTTACATCTCCAGCCAGGAAGATATTTTGTTTTGGTCGATCTACTCCCAAAAAAATACACACGAAGCTTTATTTTAACTTAAATATGGACACTATAACTGCATTAAGTGAGACTACACAGTTTTCTTATATATTTGAAATTAAAAAAGGACTGTAGGTGAATTTGTATTAAATATAAATCATCAAAATCGGCAATACGAAACAGCCAAAAAATATCGTCAGAGCTTATTGGCGATCGGTTTCTCTGGATTCTAAACAATCAGTATCAGCATCGACCATGAAAAAACCCTGTATTGGCGGTCTCTACATTGTGGGCTGCAGTGGCCAGTATCTATTAAATGTGGTCTATGGAAGGTGCAGTGGTGGGCTCCACGGACACAAAGAAAACCACTCTAAATGCAAGAAATTTGATAATCTAAAACACTTGTGTGCTGATTTTTAGAGTAACACTGGTATTTGTACAATTATTTTAAAACATCTCTTTCAGGCTTTTTCATTTTGTATGCAGTCTTTGTCTTTGGTGAATTAGTTTGTCTCTTAGCTGTCTTTGATCTGACTAAAATCACATTAAAAACAATGTTGGTGAGAAATCAGCTATTTTCTGATCTATGTTATGATTTTCTCTCCTCATCACAAACATACCTGGATTTGCTCTTTCATTTACACGTTTAACAGACCAACCAATGCATATTTAGGCTGACTTTTTTTTCTCAAACTGAACACTCTGTTCTACCTTATGATGTCATGTGGTAATAGAGGAGGGGCTCAATTGTGTTTCCAAAGTCTGTAAGCCTTCACTAGAATCATTTGGATAATTTCGGCCCTGGAATTGTCTATCTCTACTAATAACAGGTAAAACTACTGCTTCATAACATCACAAGGTGGAACAGAGCATTTTGAGTTTTGGAGATGTAGACAGACTAATAATCAAACATGTGTGAATGAAACAAAACACAACTCTAGGTATATTTTGATGAAGTAACAACATTCTAACCTGGCTCAAAGTCAGTTTTGCGTAATATAGGACCTGAGAAATCCGATAATGATCAGATTTTGGCCACACATGTAACATAAACATTCTATTATTATTATCTGTTCTATGTATCTTCCTCCACACACACAACTATAATGCTTATTTAAGACGAAACTTGTACAGAGGATGACAACTATCCCTCCAGTGAACTAACAAACGAAGTTAAAACCAAGAAGAACACGCAGAGGAGAGGAGAGAGTTCGAGCTGACTTTGAGATTCCGATCGATACCGCAGCAATAACAGGGCCATGGCAGATTTACAGATTAGCGCCAGCAACCTTTTGAGATAAAGCCCAAGTTTTGATCCATCCCTGAAGATTCACAGACCCTGATCAGTACTCTGTCCGCGGCTCATTCGCTAAGCATTTTAACAGCATTTTAACAGGAGTATCCAAGGTTACTGCAACACGTCACCCACAGTTACACAGACTATTTGGGAAATTATGAATGCGTGCATACAGCTAGGATTATGGAGCAGCTTGTGGGAGTCAGAGCATGGGTAAAACAAGCCGATTTAATCACACATTAATTCAATTTGGGAGCTTTTGAAACAGGACAGATAAGTGAAATTCAGGCCCAACAGCAAATTCAATGCGGCAAGTCAAGTTTAATGAGCAGAGAGGCAAGAGGCAGACGAGATATTTGAGAAGGCATTATGGAGCCAGAATCTATAAGTATTAGCAGGAATAGCAGATATAGTAAAAATATCTAATCTCACAGGAGCCAATCACATTATGGAAAATAATTAGATTCCATATGTGTTTGGGAAGGTTATGAACAGGTCAATACATGTGTCTATGATAAAGTATTGCAACCACCTGCCTAAATATAACTTTTATAAAAACTGGAAATTATTGAGTTGTACTGCTGAATTTTACCAATAATCACTTCCATTATTGCTTATGACAACACATACATGCAAATACTGTATAAATGTTGTTTTTGTTATTGTATAATGTAAAACGAAAGAGAAACTAGAGAAACATTTTCTGGTATTGCATGTTATTAATTAAACGTTCTTCATATATGCATACCTGTATTTTTATATATTTTTTTTTAAAACAACAGATACTTTGGACTTTTATTTGGACTTTTATTTGGCCTATGTACATCTCCAAAGTGCAAAATGCTATGTTCTACCTTGTGATGTGATGTCGTTTTCAAGTTAACAGGCACATTTTACCTTTTGTTCAGGAGATTGGCAGTTCCAGGGCAGAAATTTATCAAATATTTCTAATGAACATATATGGAGTTTAGAAACACAGTGGAGCACTTTCTGTATTACCACATGACATCACAAGGTGGAAAAAACTGTTTTCTGTTTGAGGCAAGAACTCAGCCTAAATATGCAGGATTTGTGTGTTAAACATGTGTGAATGTGTGTAAAATCCCTCAGTCGTCCAGGTAGAATCCACGGCAAAAGGAGAAATTCAATTTGTCAACTGCACAAAAGTTTGTGCAGTTTGGTCAAATACTTTCCACAACTCATCCAAGCTGCTTCTTCAGTTCTGGTCAGACACCGATGGACACTGCCTTATATCTGACTGAAAGGAGGAGTAACTACAATGACTACTCTGAAACACACCTACTTGTTTACAGTTTCTGTTACATAGCTAGGCTTCTAACAGCTTAGCTTCAGGCAGATATAAGGCAGTGTCCACCAGTGTCTGACCAGAACTGAAGAAGCAGCTTGGATGCATTTGACCAAATAAACTTTTGTCCAGTTGACAAATTGAATTTCTCCTTTTGCCAACATGTGTGAATGAAACAAAGCACAACTCCGGGTATGTTTGTTAATAGGAAACATAAGAAAACATTGAAAAAAAATAGAGCAAATATGGGACCTTTAAGTAGTCCAAAATGTAAAATAATTGTCCACTGTGCCTTAATATAACTATGCATTGGGAGACATAACCACACGTCTTCTTTAATGGTAGCTATTAATGATTGCACAATCTTTCATCTTGGATTAAATTGACAGGGTTAGCATTTAAGTCCTTCACTTATTATTCTTCTCTGTTCCTTTTTTAGAGACGACCTTTTCAGAGTGGAGCTGGACATTGTTGCAGGAGATGAGATGTTCTACAGTAAGGTGAGCACATTTGGATCTATTTTATACTCTTAAGATTGTTTTGTGTCGTCTTTAATTATGTTTGTGTAATTATATTTTTAGAAAAGGACATGGGAGTCAAACAAGAATGATATCCGGATCTGCAGGATGAAGGGAAAACATGAGGTAAAACAGTTGTTATTGCAAATGTGTTTTCACAATACAACACTGCACTCACTGAGGCTGCTCGGCAGTTTCTGAATTGCCTTTGCTTTTCATTTGTTTCATTTGTTATTTATTTGGTCTGACACGATGTAGAAGAAGCTTGTTGACGCTGTAATGCTATAATAAGTCTTTTTATGTGAAAATGCCATCTGGTCAACAGGATTACAATGAAGGCTTTAAAAGATTCATGGTTTTGATAGTGTTTGAATGAAATTGGCCTTATTTTGAAGCCAAACACAAATTCTAGTATGTATTACAAACACATTTGTGCCAGAGATTACTTTAAACGATAGTTAACTTTTACTTTAATGCAACTTTGGAGTGTAATTATGGATTTACCTTATGATAATGTTGATCTGATGCCAACAGTGACAGTGATTTGTGAGCCTGGAGTTGGCAGTTATCTGGATCAATAGCCAGTGGCGTATCATTAGGACTAATAGCAGCAGTAAAAAATAATAGATTCTATTATCATGCCACTTATGGGGTTAGGAAGCACTTTAACTGTTTAGTTAAAAGCAGCAAAAAATGGAAAGGATCCAGACAATAGTGACTAGACATGTGTTAGAGCTTGTCCAAAGCAACAGGTGATTCTGGTCGATTGCTTTCTTTTAAAGATACCTGATTTTTACAGTCAAAGCAAACAATAACAAAAAATGTAGACCTGAACATCCTGATTATTCACCAAGATAAGTTTATAAGCATGTGTAGCAGCCACTAACGCAATAATCGTAATAATTAAGTTGTGACATTAATACAAAATTGTCAGTTTCAAATGTAATAAACCCTCAACTGTGATAAATTCCGACAAACATGGAAATGAGTCCAGACTGGACTGTAGAGCTGGACTGAAGTCCATATATACAGATATGAGACATACCCAAGACGAGGCCACTGCACCAGCTACATTGTGCGAAGTTAGAGATGCCTTTCCTGTTCTCTTTCTCATCCCCTCCCCTTACTCCTGCCGCATAACACACGCCTCCTTGTTGTTTAATGTAACCCATAATGTTAAATAAGTGCTTTTGGTTTTTGTCTGCTTTGGGGGAATTACATTTTTATATTACTTTCAGAGGTTTTTTTTTTTTTTTTACACATTTGTGAATGTTACTGCAATTTTCACAACTCTCAGAGGCGGAGTTTTTCTGTGACAGTACAACTTGCCCACTTCCTGATTATCAGACAATAAAATGCTTTCCTATTAGATGCAGACAGCACTCATCAGACTTATTTTGACCTCAAGATCTCAAATACATTATTATAATACACAATACAAATTGGGACAGGGCCTTTAAAAGTAAATTTTTTTAGACTTTTCTCCATTTAAAAGATATAATATTAATTTTCAGAATGTTAAGTACCATGGCAATGATGCTGGTGCTATTTTTTCATCACTTATAAACTGGCCAAACAAAAGCTAACATGAGGCTTTTAGAGCACCATGCTAACTAAGGTGCACAAATACAGTGAATCACATTAGTGCGAAGGGGCCTTAGTAATCTCTTCATTTTAGATAAAAAAATAGTATTATAGTAATATCTTTGCTGCACATACTTATTTAAAGCATAAACCAAACGTGTTAGCTGTTGCACTGCGGTGTTTCATGGCTGCTATGAGAAATACACCCTATGTATCAAGCTCTTATTGGCGCTCATCCAGCCCGTCCCTTCTCTCACGCCTCAACATTGATCACATCAGTGCTCCCCTCCCACTTTGAACCTGTCTCTCACTATTCTCTCACTCGCTCACCATTCTCTTAAGATTCTCTCACTCTCTTGCCATTCTCTCACTACTCTCTTACCACTCTTACCATTCCTTCACCATTCTCTCACCATTCTGTCACCTCTCTTTCACCACTCACCATTCTCTCACTCACCATTCTCTTGCTATTTCACCACTCTCTCACCATTCTTTCCCCATTCCCTCACTATTCTCTCACTGTTCTATCATTAATCTCTCATTGTCTCACCCTCTCACCATTCTCTCACCACCCTCTCAATAATCTCTTACTCTCTCACCACTATCTCACCATTCTCTCACCAATTTCTCACTGTTTTCTACGCCTGTGAAAGCTGTGCCCTGGGAACATGCAGGTGGGCGAACTGTCCCCGGAGCCACCAGCCCACGCCTCACTACCTCTCCTATCTCCTCTGCGCATTTGTACCCACTGTCTCCTGCTCGCAAATCATCTACAATAGTGTGCGTGTGTGTGTGCTTGCTTGCGTGCGTGTGTGTGCCCGTGCCTGCATGTGTGCACGCATGTGAGGAGATTTTGGGGTTTTCACCTCCCTCTGTCCCCTCTGGCTGAAAGGAGAGAAGAGAAAGAATGACTTATTTAACACAGAACACCTGACATTAAATCTTGGGGAGACTGTGGCAGACAGACACACAAAAGCAGAGACCAGAGGGACAGAGACTAAAGCTAGGACTGAGGATGAGGAGGTGTAGGGTGTGAGGAAGATCAGGTAAGGAAAAAGAGGGAGTGTTGGTTGGCCCTGGACTGAGGCTCCCCAGAGCTGCACATAAGCCTTTGGGATTCAAAAAAATGCTCTGATTGAGTTTCAGTTTGCTGAAAATTCACCCAAAAACTGTAAATGAATGACATTAGCATAAATGATTGATTTATCCATCTCTAATTTGCATCTATAATTCCAATACAGTGATAAAGTAGCTGATAGAAACACAAACTTACCAATGCCTCTAGAACAATATGAAAAAATCTGACTAATGGTTCAGAAGATTAGAGCTATTACCTGAAATGCTGCAACCACAGGCATTTGAAATTAATCAGACTTCTGTTAAAAAATAAAAGTGCTCAGAAATGGTTCAAAAGAATTGCAAGAAAATATCACAGTTTCTATGACAATTTGTGAGTCAAGCAAATAACTGGTCATTGCCCAGGATTTACACCATAGTTAGCGAACACTAACAAAAAGCTATACGATCATCTGAGAACAAAATATAATCATATAATCATAATATATATCATACCATAATCATATGTTTAGCTCTATTAACAGCCTGTTTATCATCACACCTCCAACATGTCATAGCTGTAATGTAATTGTTTTCAGTCACATGGAGCTCTTCTTATATCCACCATGTCCTTCCTATCTATCATGCACTCATTTAATGGCTGACTCCACTCGCCTCCTCTGCCCCTCACCTGTCCTGTTCCGCTCGGGGGGAGGCCAGTGTCGCATGTGATGCATTCTCCACCTCATAATTGGTTTTGTAATTAAATGTTTCTGCTTGGCTGATCACAAAGGACATGCTATTCTCCCTAATTAGGTCTGCACATTCAATATTCCCCATTCTTTCACCTGTTCCCCTGCTCCCTGGTCCCACCCGCTCCTGGTTATTCATGTCTACTATGTGTGGGATGCTGTCCTTTTTGTCCAGTACATATTAGACATTTTGTTTGACATTATCTCTTTCAGGCTAGTCTTCATGCGACAAAAGCAGCCAGAGATAAAAGCAAATCAAAATCAGGACATGTTGATAAATAACACACTCTCTATGCTAAAATGGTCACATTTTATATACAGCGCTTTTCCAACTTCAAGGCACTTAAAGCGATATACAAATCAGATGTAGTTGATAAATGGCTACATTATATATTATATGAGATTGCCAGAAAATTCGATTGCCAGGTCTCAACAGTGCAGCAGATAAAAATTTATTACATTAATATAGTATATAAAATGTGAGGGTCGGGTCACCACTTCATAGATCTGACCTGTAAATTATCCTGGATGCCTCACGTGTTTTTTCCAAGAGGATTCATTTTAATTCCTTGTATCTTGAAAGCCCAATTAGCGTACCAGACTCTTTTTCATGAGCACCCTGTTTAGACAAACCAAAAAAAATAAAAAATGAAAACATTAAAACAGAAAACAGGTGCTGTTGTGACTATAAATGTCATCAGATCATTAAAATGCCGTATTGGCAACAGTGTATCCCGTTTTGCATGTCCTCGCATGAAGATAGTTTTGTTTAATGCCCTATTGAACATTCCAGGCAAAGCAAAAACATCACCAGAAACGTTACCTTGCTCAACTTTAACTTTTTAGGTTCTATATTTTGCTAAATTAAGTTGTGAGCTTTTGGCTGTGTTTGAATGTTGTTACCTCCCTAAAAACATAGTAGGTGGTGTATTGTTTGATTCACACATGTTTGAGTAATCTTCTATCATTAGTCTGTCTACATCTCCAAAGCTCAGAATGCTCTGTTCCACTTAATGATGTCATGAAGCTGTAGTTTTCAAGTTAACTGCTCCTTACCTTTAGTTTAGTAACTTGGCAATTCCTGTTTTGAAATTATCCAAACTATAGTGAAGGTGTGTGATGTTTAAAAACACCGTGGAGCACTTCTTGTTTTATCTAATGAGATCACAAGTGGAATAGAGTGTTTTGCGAGAACTCTATAATACTAGGATAGGTTCCAGTAAAGTTTTTTTTTTTTTTTATATATATATATATAAAAAGTTTATAATTTTACCAAAACATTCCTAAACTTTGCCATTTTGAATTTCCAGTTCCCTGTAGACTTTCTTTTGAGTCTGGATTAGTCCCAGGTTGAGTGGGGCAGATAAGTGCCCACATGTTGTGCAGGTTAATTGGTTGGTGGTTGTTTCCATAAGAAGAGGCTGATGAGGTTAAACTGTGTGTTAAAGATTGTCTATATGTGTGTATGTCTCCACTGGGGAGCATGGCTCAGCTGACCTCTCTGTGTGGAGCTCTTGTCTCAGGTCCACTCTACTGCTGCGACTGCCACACGCCTCACTGCTCTCCCCTCTACAAAGCCTCCTACCTCCTTTCCTGTCTCCTTTCCTGTCTCCTTTCCTACCTCCTTATCTCCATCATCTGTCCTTGCCCCCGTGTTTGTTTGTGGCCTGTGGTGTGTTCAGTCAGAATTACAATAGCATGTTGACACAGAGTGATGCTGATTGGTTTGAACAT